TGTCTCCATCACCACTATGAAGAAGTAGGGGTGAATAGGGCCCTCCAGATGGGGGCATGCAGACTTGGGGATACTTGGAAAAAAGTAGAAAATACAGTATGACACTAGCAAATGTGAGCAAATGGTGAAATGCGGAACCATGAACATGAGCGCCTTCCAAAGTATATTAGTCTCTTCCTACAGAAAATAAAAAAAAAATGCTGGGCATTTGTTTTGAGGTATTATGTTTATGCCATTAACAAGTATGTGAGCATCTTTGGAGAGGGAAGAGGCAGCCTTGCTGCTTAATTCAATCTAAATGAAAACAGCAGAGAACAACAGTGACTAGATAGATGATGGTGCCTTACAGAAGACTGGTGAAAACTGGGTGGGTGGGAGAAGAGGAGAGGAGAGAGAGTGAGGGTCCTTTATCCAGCACATAAATATGAGTTTAGTCTCCATTCTCATTTCTCTTGGTCATATAAAAACAGTGCTTCATTCCCAAATGATATTTCAAATATGCTATCGTTTATTTCTGAAAGCCATGTGAAAAGTCCATGGCAGACCCAAAATGGGTTCACAGCAAACTGTAGGTTCACAGGGTTCCATACCACATTTTAACCCTCAAGGACAATGGACACACTATTTAAAACATGTAGATTGAAGAGAATTGAGTAAAACAATAATTAAGCTTAGTCTATCTTATATGTCTGAAAGAGTAAGGAAGTTCAGTATTTGGGGGCTCAAAAGTATTGGCATGTAAAAATAAAAATTATTTTTTAAATACCTGAGGAAACCTGGAAGCATACAATTAATTAGGCATTTAGAGTGACCAAATTTCTGACCTCACTTAACTTTTTAAAACCTGCCTTTTGGATCAGCTGCTATTTTCCTATTTTAGTTTATTTCTGTTATGTTATTTGTAAGTTTACCTAGAGGAAAACATACTGTTTTCTACCTTTTGTTCACTTTTGCTCTGACCAAAGCTTACATTGTCAAGGAAGAAAGTAAATATTGTGAGATCACTTAATCATAATTAATGTTTTTAGAGGGCATTGTATCCAGGGCCAAATCGGATCTACAAATGGTTCTTGCATAGTGTGATTCCAAAACTATCTCCAACAGTGGCCCACTGTGGTGCCAATCTTTCTATCCACCTGGCCAGAAATTACACCATTTAACTCAATCCACTTCTTGGATTTAGGTCATATACACATTATCTACCATTAGAATGCAAATATGTGGGTTGTGAGGAAGGCCCTGGAGTTACTTCCGTCCTGTCCACCTTAAAACATATTATCAAATTCACTCACCATCTCTCTCTAAGAGACCCACAGTTCTCTTTCTGTTCTGGAGAGTAAAAGATAAAAGAAAAATCGGATAGAAGTCGAGAATCACAGATTGTTGGGTCTAGATGTGATTCTAGAGTTAATTTTGTCAGATACCTTACAGATGATCACAAGCAGACCAAAAAGGAGTAAGTCATCTACCCGATCATATGGTAAAATTGGGAATAAAGGTCAAATAGGGTGACTTCTTTATTTGAGTTGTTAAACACTGTATATGATTAAATGATGCATAGCAAAGATAAGCTGCCTTTGTAAAGATGATTCAGGGGTAGACCTTGGAAGAAGACTCATGGCGCAGAGGCAGGGACAAGATAAATACTGATCAGAGACTTAAAGAATCACTTAAATACCATGACAAGAGAAAGTCTGAAGAGCCTCACATAGTTAAGGGCAAGCTCTTGTGTAAACAATATGTGCCTTTAATGAGATGTTGCTTTTAAGAATAATATTTGGATTTCACTTGAATTTCCAATTCATTACAGTAGGTTTCAATTAATTTAACATTTTCACTATCAAATATTTTATCATTACTCAACTTCCTACCGTGAACTTCGTATTTCAAAATATTTTATTTCGCTAAATGTATTTTCATGAAATAATAAAAACCAATTTCCCCAATCTTATCAAAGGAGCAACATGAAATAATTGGTAGTAATGAATGAAGGGCAAAGAGAAAATACACTGGTGAACTTGTTCATGAATAAATGTAAAATTCATAAGGGATTTCTTAAAATATTTTTTAAATGATATTATTTCCATTATTACTTGCTGAGACCTGTGCAATAAATACTTCAGATTTGGAATTATCAAAATGGTGGGACTCATTCAAATGATTCCATTCAGGTTCCAAGACATTATGTTTATTCTTACAGTGTATTCTTTTTCCTAAGATAATAAGAGAATAGAACTTCATACACCATTTGGCTTTAATGTGGATTATATAGGGCAAAGTTTGTTATAAAAAAAAAATTCCACAGCCCTCTTTATTATGCTAAAATCTAGAAGGCAGATAAGAGCTTTTGTAAACAAAGCACACTACACTGCCTATCTTCTTAAATTTTCCTATGTTTTTGGTATTTCTTTACAACGGCATTTTTGATGACTTACTTTTATCGTTAGCTGTCCCAACCTATACTCAGTTTGCATCATGACATTGGAATATTATGTTTTGCCCTGGAAATTATCTTCTAAAATTTACAATAAATGTTAATCCAAATAATTAGTTACAATTGCATTGTTTCACATAGGTTAAAACTCACGGAAAATATCTGAGGTAATAATAATTAGGGACTAGGACAGCATCCAAAATGGTATTTTCATGGAAAATCCAATACAAATCCTGATTAAAACCTAACCAAGCAAAACACTGCAGATTACCTGGATTCCAATTAAATGTGACAAATGAATAGTTGACAGGTTTCAATTCCAATTCTATTTATGTCAGAATGATCCATTAATATTGAAGATAAAATTACCAGAATTCAAGCAATACAATTGCACTTTATGCCTAGATAGTAGTCTAAAACTTGGACCCAACAAAACTCTTAACTCAAATGTCAGCTGCTACATTTGGATCACCCAAAGTGAATCACATCTCCTTCTGTCATTACCTATAGATCAGGCCTAACATGAATCACAGCTAACAGATGACAAATGGCTATAAAAAACTCTGAATTTCAAGTGTCAGTCACATATAAAATCAGGAAAAATCAGTTATATTATCATGGTGCTTGCTGTTGACAAGACTGAAAACATGGTTAAAAATAAAAGACTTCTTTGGGAAATGTTCCTCAGTTAACTTTCTAGTTTCTTATCAAGCTCACCTGCTAACTTATTCGTGACATGTATGTGTCCCAAAAAGTAACCGATATGTGTTGGTCATATATAGTTATGTTTATTATCTGTCGCTTTCTTACTTTAAAAGTGTCGGATCCCCTTAAACTCAAAAAACAGAAAATTACATTAAAAAGTGATTTTAAAGTCATTGACACAAAGTCTTTTCTATTAATATAGCTGACATTCAAAAAATAGACTTAGTAGTATATATGTTGTTTATAGTGAGATAGTACTTTTTAAAATGAAAGAAAATTATATAATATCATCAAATGTAATTGCACACATAGTAAAGCCCTTAAATTAATCCATCTTCCTTAGGGGGGGGTGTGTGTGTGTGCATGTGTGTTTGTATTATTATAGTATTTTTAACTTAATTTTTACTTTTGTGCAAAGCATCTCAAACATATTTGCCTTCAATGTATATTCATTAGCATTGCAATTCATCCAAAAATGTTTATACTTATTTAAAAAATACTCTAAAAGGTTAATTCTTAAAAATCACATCAAACTCAAATCCACATAAGCCACACACCAGCATACACACAGATAAGCATGCTTTTATAGCCCTATAGGCAAAATGCTGTTTAAACTCTGGATAATTAATCAAGAGGGGTATCAGTCATCAGACTCTAATATCATATCCTCTCATCCAGATAACACTGTAAAAAAAATAATTTTAGCATGATTTAGTTTAGCAATAATTTCACTTGGGGTCATTTATGATATATTACTCTGAAGTTGGATTTTAATATTCATAGGTAAAATTTCAGAATAAAAGCAGACTTTCTCCTGCATTAATATGCTCTATTTGCATAACATCACTCACAAAACTTGTATGTAACGAAAAGTGTAGGTCTTATCGCGCTTCAGGAGTGGGAGGCTGAAAGACAAATCCATTTTGAGTTTTCACTAGAGGTAAGGTATGTGTGATTCGCCTTCCTTCCCCTAATATAACTACATCTCTTTTTATATTTAAAATAATAATACAATTAGTAAGTATATTACCATTCCACATGTGATACAACCTGTTCCTCAGGCATTTACTTAATACCTGAAGTACAAAAAAGCAAGCACCTCATTGTCTTTGGCAACACAAATATGAAAAGTTTTATAAGTACTATATAAGTACTACTTGCAATCTAACTTTATAACTGAAAGGAAAGTATAAGGCCAATTGTGGTAATTATGAGAGTCATCTTGCAACAGGTAAGAATATAGAATTCTATGTTTGCTTTCCTTCCTTTTCTCTTGCATAAAATTGAGAAAACCTTATGCTTAAATTAGAGGGGAGTTCTAAAAGTATTTACAGTATATTTTGGAGAAAAAGATAATACTGTTCTCCTTTGGCCCCATTTCAGCTATCACTCGAAAGGAGAGGTTTGAAAAGATTTTTCTAAATACCTAGAAAAAGAAAGAGTCAAGCAAGGTGTGTTTATTCTCATTTCCTTTCTCTAAAACAGGACAATTGCAATTGAAGAAATAGTTGCATGACAAAAATGAATAGAAGAAAACAATAACACAAGATCTCTCTCAATTGCTATTATTTAAGTATTATTCATTGATTTAGGATTTTTTCCTATGAATTACTCTGATTTATGTATAAAGTGTTTATTTCTGAAAGGCTGTTTTTAAATGATGGTGCGAGTTTAAATGAATTTTATCTATATAGTTATGTTCCTTTATTGGGCATTTCTGTCCTTTAGCAAATATTTATTTTTTAAAATAAAACAGTTTTAGTGTCATCTATTTTATTTTGATTTTAGACTGACCTTCGCGGGTCTACTTATTACAGCTCACTAGCGTGGTGATGTGTGTGAATGTTGTGTTTGCCCCTACCATTTTCCATATGCTCTGCCTCACCAACACTGCCATCCGGCGTGGTCCTCTCATAGTTGTCCTCTGGGAGTGGAAGGGCACCCAGCCTTGGCCCTGATGAGCTCTTACTGCTTGGTGTTTCTGACTCCTCCAGCCCGCTGTCATAGCAACTCTGCAGGGACCCCTGCTGTGGGTCCTGAGGCTGACTCACAACAGAAAACGTCACTCTACGAAATGGCTGTAAAAGAAAAGATTCTGAATGTCACTAAGATATAAGGTTGTAAAGGATCTTATTTTTTATAAATACATAAATTACATACATTAAGGCCTACTGACAACTAGTTCAATACAAAATGATCAGCTATGGCAAAATCTATTTGTTAACTCTATTATCTGAGGCAATGCTTAGAACTTAGATTTGATGATGGAAAAACTGAAAATACCCTTTCTGAAATGGAGAGAAGAAAACAGTAGCTTCACTAAAACACACATTTAAATCTATATAAGTTCCACATATTCAACCTTTGTCTCTTCTGCAGTTTTTGCTCCAAATGTGCTTTTAACAAAAATATTCTCTATAAAAACAAGGGTCAGTGATTTGGGAAGACAATAAATATTTAATTAATTCATTGGAAGAAGATTTCACTTTAAAATGCTTTGTCCATATGATGTGATGGTTTAAAAATAAGTGTTCTGGCAGTTGACTTAAACGAAGAAAAGGTGAAATAGCTAAATAGGAATTCAGATGCAGTGTTGGGAAATTGGAATATATTTTTTATTCATATTAAGGATATCATATTACCAAAAATTGTAAAGGTAGTATTGAAATAATAGATAAAAGGTTCCTTAACCAGGCAAGAGAAAATAAATTTAAAAGTTTAATTGTGTGTGCTTACTATGACTATTTGTAGTTCATTCTAAAAGTAACTATGAACAAACAGTAAAGTGTTGCAAATCTTTTTTCCAACTGGACAACACGATTTACTATGATACTGACAATGAAGATTTACTAGGTATGAAATTTACAGATTATTGCAACTATAAAATTTGTAAAAATTAGGCTCATTAAAGGAATAAGTTAATTCCATGCATTGACATGGTACATGCATGATATTTGAAAAAAAACAAAATAGAAATGTTCTATAATATCTGTCTGAGATTATTTTTGGCAATAGATATATTTACTAAGCTCTTATATGATTTGAAAATGGCATACATGTATGGATTTTTAAACCTGTAACTCAGACTGGTTATTTCTAATATAAAGTATAAAACTATTGTTGCCAGAATATAGTCAGAAAAGTAAAGAATCATATTTTGTACTTTCATAACTTGAATACTAACAGTAAAAATAAACTAATGAAAACTGGGACCAGTAGAATATTTTTAAATGTTAGGAATTATATATACATGGTAGATTATTAATGGGACAGCTGAGAAGAGTGTGACATTTCTTCCAAATTTATGAACTGGCTTTGCTAAAGACAAATACATGCTTCCACAAATCTTCCCTTTATTTTGTCTGAGTTTGGCTACGCATATTGTCTACTATTGGTATTTCTAGCCGACTACCTCACCCTCCATGTACTTAATTTGGCATGTACAGTCTTTATAAAATCTTCTTTTCCATTCTAGTTCAAAGTCACACTTTCAGAAGTTTGCAATCCTATTATAACAGAAAAACATTTAAAGCACATTCTCTTTATAACATTTCACTGAATTGGGACTGCAGCATTTTAAAACAATTACACAAAATATTTCTAGTATGAACAGTATATACATCCTGGGTCAGTTTACCAGCAATAAACTCTTTAGAAACATTATCCTTATCCCACTAATAATTCTCATATTTTTCTTACAGTAGTAGGACTGTGATATTTTACCTTATATCTAAACAAATACAGGAATCAATTGGTATTTACTTTGCTTTATCTTATATGTACTTAGTTTCTTTTATTTCTTTTTTCATTTATCACTCCCAGTTGATTGCAAACTATTTGTATCTTTCTTCTCACCTCAGAAGCAAAACCATAGATGGTCTCATAAAGCCACATTGTTGTACAAACAGAAGATACCCAGCAAATACTACTGAACAAAGAATCATAATAACAACATTGAATTTAGGAAACAACAGCAAGGGCAATGCAAACTTACTGTCACTTCAAGAGAGCAATGGGCTAAAAATACACATGTATATATATATAGACAGAGAGAGAGAGAGAAAGGAAAGGTCAAATGCTGCTCTTACTGTATTTCAGTGACTTTCTAATCTTTTAGAATAAGTCTGTTAACACAAGAAAATTTAAAAATGAATACAGAAATACATTATATATAATAACAAATTAACAAAGGAAAATACATGAGAAATTATGAGCGATGTTTCATTTTGATAGAAAAATTTTTTTTAAAAATTGATGTTTGGATGCAGGTCATAAACCCAGATTCTGTGTTTAAATGCTGGCTTCACTGAAAATAATATTAGGAAACCACAGAGGTGATAGTCTATGTTTGTAATGAAAAAGGTCGTAAATAAAATAATGATTTTTCTGTAATGTACTGCATGAGAACTGCTATGAATCTGTGTTTTTTATTTTCTTGATTTCCTACCCTATTAACTGTGCTTTAATTTCCATGAATTACTTTAGGTTACATATTAAATTTAATGGTGGAAGGAAAAGTGTTGTAAATTTAAAATACTAAGATTTGTTTATGTAGAGCCACAAATGCTTCCTTTTTGTATAAAGTTTTCTTTTATTAAAAATAATATCTGAATGAATAAAAGAAATTCACGATAAAAATTTTAAATAAAGAATATCATACAATGGATCATGAAATACCCATCTACCATTTTTTTTTCTAGTCCTGGTACCACCCCTACTTGTTTTTTTTTTGTTGTTGTTATCATTAATCTATGTTACGTGAAGAACATTATGTTTACTAGGCTTTCCCCTACCCCAAGTCCCCCCAACAAATCCCATTACAGTCACTGTCCGTCAGCATAGTAAGATGTTGTAGAATCACTACTTGTCTTCTCTGTGTTGCACAGCCCTCCCCTTTCCCCCACTCCCCACATTACACATGCTAATCATAATACTACCCTTTCTTCTTCCCTGCCCTTCACCCTCTCTACCCTCCCATTCTCCCCAGTCTCTCTCCCCTTGGTAACTGTTAATCCATTCTTGGGTTCTGTGATTCTGTTCCTGCTTTGTTCCTTCAGTTTCTCTTTTGCTCTTAGACTCCACAGATGAGTGAAATCATTTGGTATTTGTCTTTCTCCACTTGTCTTATTTCACTGAGCATAATACCCTCTAGCTCCATCCATGTTGTTGCAAACTGTAGGATTTGTTTTATTCTTATGGCTGAATAATATTCCATTGTGTATATGTACCACATCTTCTTTATCCATTCATCTACTGATGGACACTTAGGTTGCTTCCATTTCTTGGCTATTGGAAATAGTGCTGCAATAAACATAGGGGTGCATCTGTCTTTTTCAAACTGGAGTGCTGCATCCTTAGGGTAAATTCCTAAAAGTAGAATTCCTGGGTCAAATGGTAAGTCTATTTTGAGCATTTTGAGGAACCTCTGTATTCCTTTCCACAATGATTGAACTAATTTACATTCCCACCAGCAGTGTAGGAGGGTTCCCCTTTCTCCACATCCTCTCCAACATTTGTTGTTGTTTGTCTTTTGGATGTTGGCCATCCTAACTGGTGTGAGGTGATATCTCATAATGGTTTTAATTTGCATTTCTCTGATAACTAGCTATGTGGAGCATCTTTTCATGTGTCTGTTGTCCATCTGAATTTCTTCTTTGGAGAACTGTTTGTTCAGCTCCTCTTCCCATTTTTTAATTGTATTATTTGCTTTGTGTTTGTTGAGGTGTGTGAGCTCTTTATATATTTTGGATGTCAAGCCTTTATTGGATCTCTCATTTACGAATATATTCTCCCATACTGTAGGGTACCTTTTTGTTCTATTGATGGTGTCCTTTGCTGTACAGAAGCTTTTCAGCTTGATATAGTCCCACTTGTTCATTTTTGCTTTTGTTTTTCTTGCCTGGGGAGATATGTTCATGAAGAAGTCACTCATGTTTATGTCCAAGAGATTTTTGCCTATGTTTTTTTCTAAGAGTTTTATGGTTTCATGACTTACATTCAGGTCTTTGATCCATTTTGAATTTACTTTTGTGTATGGGGTTAGACAGTGATCCAGTTTCATTCTCCTACATGTAGCTGTCCAGTTTTGCCAGCACCATCTGTTGAAGAGACTGTCATTTCCCCATTGTATGTCCATGGCTCCTTTATGGAATATTAATTGACCATATATGTTTGGGTTAATTTCTGGAGCCTCTAATCTGTTCCACTTGTCTGTGGCTCTGTTCTTGTGCCAGTACCAAATTGTCTTGATTACAGTGGCTTTGTAGTAGAGCTTGAAGTTGGGGAGTGAGATCCCGCCCACTTTATTCTTCTTTCT